GGTTTCACTTGTACCATATTTTCCTTCAAGTCCAATCCATACATCATTAGAGAGATGCGCTAGTACGTATATCTCAACTCTCAAGCGCATCCTTGTTTGGAAATAATGAGGATATTATGAGCCACCAAGGAAGTGCAAAAACTAACCAAACCCAGACTACCGCTACAGTTAGCAGCCTTGTACCCTGGTCAATCATGGCTCCATAATGTTATACCTGCAATTTTTGAAATTAACTTGTGACTATGAGTATATCGAACAGGTTAAGTGAATCAAGCATGTCATTTCAGTTTAACTCTCTCCTTTGTTCGAAATAAACCTTTTCTTTCCTTCAAAAGACTGAAAGAGAACGAATTATATTTTTTTGAAAATTAAACGTCAAAGTTATGTAGTTGTTATATAGTCATAAGTTTAGTAGCGGAAAATTAAAATTGACATATGCAAGTTGCAGTTGGTTTGGTAATTTGGTGTTAGATATTTTTTTTTTGTTGTCAGAGCTAAATTGAGATTCATATTCAAGGAGCTTTCTTATTGATGAAACTTTCAAAATTCGGCTACAGCACCTAATGTTACTCCTTTTAGCCGGAAACAAAAATTTCCTGGGTTGGCGGCTGTGACAAATTAAAGTACTTTTAAGTTTTAATCAGGGAAAAGAGCTTCCAGAGCTTCCTCCCATTCCCTGCGACGTCGATCAGATTGGCCACTCGTGTCTTCTAAAAGGACTATAGTTTGTGGCCTTTGCAAATCACCTTTTTGTCCACGTGGAGGATATTGATTCAAATAATGCATGCATGCATGGTAACGAAACGTTGTCGTTGTTGCTTCATGATTCTACTTGAATAGTTCTAGGCTTCTAGGCTCTAGCTAGTCCAGATTGTCCATCTAAGCCAAATGGGCCGTTGCTATTATGCGATAGTAGGAGTTTGTACAGAAGAGTTGGAAAGGTTTCTCTTTGTTGCAAGAGGAAGTGTTTTATGGTCGACTGACAATGTTCATCATAGGTAGAATTTATATATATTGCAAAAGTCCATGAAGTTTCACCTCAAAATCAATTGGGGGCAATGAGGGGAGTAGTCCATAAAACTTATATATTGATACTCAGAGTTTCCTAACACCGATGTAGGATTGAGACTCTTTAATATTCCTCCGCAAGCCCAACATTTTTTTTTGATTGAGTTTGTTCTATTTTTTTCAGCTTAGACGCCACCTCACGTTTCAACCCTATTTTTTATTGGGCTTTTTTGGAGTTTGAATGTCGGCGGGTTGACTCTGATACCATACAAAAGTCTATAGGGTTCCACCTCAAAACCAATTGGTAATGAGGAAAGTAACTATAGAGTTTATATATTAATAATCAAAGTCTCTCAACACCGTTGTGGGATTGGGACTATTTAATATATATATCATGTATGCATCCGGTGTCCAAAGTCATTACTATGAAAAATTTATATTCGAGTCGGATAGACTAATTTTAGTTTGGTTTTTGACTTGAGACAGTAAATTGATCGAGAGCAGACTAGACCATTTGATTCAAATTATAGTTGGGAAAATCATAAATAAATTGAAAATTGTTTATATGGATGCTGATGATTTAGAAATTTCGATCATAGTGTCGAAAACCAAAACTCTTGCTAAATTATAGGGCACGAAGTCATACTAAATTAATTTAAATTTTCGCCTCATAATAACTCTGAACCGGCGCCAGTAGGACAATGCGGCACATTGCTCTTGTATGAAATCATCAGAGCCTACTATTATACTAGTCGTGAGAGGTTGGTTTACAAATTTTTTCAAACACATAGTCATTATGCCCGTTTCAGTACATTATTTATTTCACGTCATTGAAAAGAAAAAGAGTTTCTTAACTTCTAACTTAGGGATTCATATGGTCGAATTTTATTACCTCCTAAGTAACACAAAGAAATTGAGAGGATGGACCACAGATCGTAGTGTTTTGAGTTCAAAAGAAAGTGTTTAATTACGTGATTATTGAAGTTGTTTCAAGTTCTCAAAATAAAAATGTTTTCTATCACTTCAAATTGGCAATATATGAAAGCTATCACTCTTTCTTACTCTGAAATGCAAGAAAGATGCAGCATTGAAAAATTGAGATGGTGATCACTTTCACAATGTATGTTCTTTATTACTGAACCACTAATGAACTTGCAGTACAGTTCATCATCCCTATAAAATGCAGCTAGAAATTCGATGAATAAGAAAATCATATCCCCAATTTCCAAAGTTTTCATTTCATTTGTGAAATATTCAAAAAGAAAGAAATTATAAATCAATGATGACGAGATGTATTTTTGTTGTGCTTCTGATCACTCTTGCGATTGGTAACAATATTTACCCCTCTCTCTATCTCTCTTTCTCTTTCTCTCTTTGTAGGTAGTTCTTTAATCCTTCAATATATTTTTCTGTTATGTACAAACAGAACAATTATTTTTATACTCCCTCCATCCCATAATTATTATCCAGTTTGAGTTTTCATTTTTAGTTCAAATTGTATTAGAAATGAGATCTCAAACTGGACAATAATTTTGGGACAGAGGGAGTATAAAAAAACTAGTGATTAGTACAATATGTAGTTGATGTGGCAGTACCAAAATCTGCAGCAGCAGCAAGAGATGAGAACCGGCAACCGGCCAGGGACGCCAGTACTGAATTCCTCCGGCCATCAAGAAAGCTTTTGGATCTTCCTCTTCTGTCGTGCCAGGTTGATTCAGATTGCAAAATAGGCCATTGTGTCTTCCAAAACACTGATATTGGTATCTGCTTACCCACCTAGTACGTCGTGGAGGAGCAGTTTGATTCGAGAATGGGAGATCGTACTGTTAATTATACTACTAATTTCTCCAATCTTTCCGGCATTTCATTCGAGCATATATGGTTACGTTAACGTTGTTGCTTAGTTATATTTCCAACTCTTTCCAATATCGGATTTTCCGTATGTGGGTTTTTGTTCATATGATATTTTTTGGTTTTATGATTCTTGTTATAATATTGTCGAATCGAGGACAGCCGTGCTGGGACTGGCCTTGAATGCGTTTTTGAGTCTGTCATTACTTTACAATACATTCAATAAGAAAATATACGTTGTTTACTTTTGTGGGGTGGCTTCGAAGGTTTTTTTTTTTTTGGTCTTCGTATGATACAGAAAGCTAAATTCCTTCTATCTTAGAATAATAAATAAGTATATTCATGAAGCTATACGATTATTTACTTTTGTTGTGTAAGCTTTTTTTGCCTTCATCTTATACAGAAAGATATATAAATATTTCCTCCATTCTAAAATAATAAATCAGTATGTTCATGAACTACAACAATAGAACAGAATATATCATTTTTCTAGAATGGATGGAATAGTTTATGAATTCTCCACAGAGTAAGGATGCAATTAGTAAAAAATTTATAAAAACTTTATGTAGCGAGCCAATCGGTCTCATTACCAATTTAATTTGAACAAATTTAGCATCATTACCAAGTTTTGATAATGGCATCCTACAGTGATGATGCCAACCTCCCTGGCCCTGAATAGTGAATATTGTCACTTTCACAGCCAAAACTTCCACTATGCTGTCATTTGAATTTCATGGATAGAACTCGCGGTAATTAACTCGTAATAAAGATGGTTATCATCTGCAAATCACCTGCACTCCGCGGATAATTTCCTGCTGGAGTAATGTAATGCAGTGGCATTCAGTAATGATTTATTCAATGAACAGAATCCTCTGCTTCACTCAGCCCAGCGGGATGAATACGATCACATTTCCGGATATAAAGCGTTTGATAGTGAGCTATAAGTATCAGATTGCTTAAGGTCTAAAATGATGGTCCCCAACAAATACTCCTATGATTTTGGACGGGGAAACCATAACAGAGAAGCAATTGCATTTCATGAGAAAACCCATCGCATGCTCTGCTCAAGCATCTCAACCACAAGATTTGCAACCATGGAACTACAAATGGATTTGAAGGACAATTGTGGGGGTTACTTTGCTGTGACTTTTAAACTAATTCAGTGACTAAGATATGAATACAAGCGGTAATAATGATCAGTACATGGATATATTATTAGAATAATTGATATTATGTCATTGGGTTATGCTAGCCACACTTTCGTATTGATATCAAATTAAATAATGAGAGATCGAGGGCCAAATCAGATAACGACAAATGTTATAAATATGATCAAAGAGTTTTCTAAAACTCTTTCTTGGCTACAATGAAGAAGTCCGGCAGTAGTAGGTTGATTTTTTTATTTTTTCGGTTTGTTTGGTCCAAAACATTTAACAATATTCATAAATAAATTCTAGATACATCGACAAAAGATGGGCATGAGCATACGTAGTCCTCCTCTAATAACAAAGATACACAAGAGGGAGCGATATCACAAAAAAAAAAATAAATAAAAAATTCTCGTTCTTCTCTAATGTCTCCTTTATTACTTCATCATCAGTCGATTGATTTAGATTTGGATACTTTCATTGTATTTTAGATTAAAAAAATTATAGGAAATTAGGCCAAATTGTTAGATGGCGGATCGCTTTTGTTGCCCTTATATAGTAGAGTTAGATCATGAATGTAGTATTTGATTAGTTTTTGAAACCGCACCAAAATAGTCTCCTATTAGTATGACTGACAACATGATTGGTCTCATTCAGGATGTGATCCTTTGCAGCAAACTTCTCTTAACTTCTATAACTTGTGCAGTATAATGCTCGATCCCTCTGTCAAAAATAAAAAATAAAAAATCCACATTTTAGTTCGTAAATTGTATTAAAAATGGTTCAAGTCACAAATTGCAATGTGCACTATTTTCTGAATACAAGAAAGTAAAGTAATTGTCTAATTGAAGTGCTAACTACTAGTATTTGTAAACAGAAGGAGTACTATAGAATTGACGACTGAACCAACAGGCTATAATTAATGCGCACGCAATTCATTTCACGTCCAATAAATACAGCCAGAACTTGATGAAGAAAACAACCCATCCCAATTCCCAAATCAGGTTTCTTTTAAATCATAGTTATGTAACAAAGAAAACAGATCAATAAACAAGAATATCAATGATGGCACCAATTATGAGATCTGTTCTCGTTGCGCTTGTGCTGGCTCTCCTTATTGGTAACATTTTTTACTGATCACTCCTCTCTATCTCTTCCTTCTTAATTTGTTGCAAGCTAACATTAGCTTATTGCATACATTTCATCGGTTTCAAAATAATTTCTAGACAATAATTTCAGGGCGTACATATAACTATAAATAATACATTAATATAGATGTGCGCATTAATTAATTTGCATGATGCAGGTTGTCATTTACTGGCAGCTTTGGCACTGCCAAACTCAGCAAAGACGGCAGCATTTGACGATCATCATCGTGGCGATGAATCCCTCCGCCCGACGACAAGATGGCTTTTGCAGAAGACTGATACCTGCCTTCGATTCTGTAACAGTACAGATGATTTCTGCAATGGCGCATGTGAACCAATCCCAAAAAACGTACTTCCGATACTTAGTAAATTGATTAATGAATTACCAGTTCCTGATACTGTTTTTCCTTCAAACACCGACACAGTTTGCGTGGACGTGCCTAGTTCGCCCTATCTGTGAGAAGATTGTTATTAACTCTGGGTGTGGCACTTGATCGCCTTGCCGTGGATCTGGCTTCCGCTATCTGTCTGCTTATTTCAAGGTTTTAAATATATCTTCTGAGTATGAATTCTATGTTTATCCGACAGAATACATGGAAATTGAAAAAAACACACAAGCATACATGAACGTGCATGTGTGAGGTTGTCGTACGTTGTTATAATGTTGTATTTTAATAAACACAATTACATACCTGTGCTCGAGTTTATGGTGAAAAAAAATCATTATATAACTACATACTATTTCATTGTTTCCCTTCTTCCTATATATTAGTATCAATGAAGGTGTTAATGGCAACCCCACGTGCAGTATACCATTCATAATTATCCTCGTGGCCACCGAGCTTAGTTATATATTGACTTTCGGTCTCCTTTTTAATAAAAAAAATAGAAGAAGCGAAACACCTAAGTAACTTGAATATTTATTTATAACTACATATTTCTTGACTTTCGGTCTCTAATACATAGAACACACAAGTTTCTTGGTAAAATTCCCCATTCATTATATTCATCGTCGGGGTTCATCATTTTAAGCATCAACTAATTCATATTGGCAGAAACATATAATTTTATCATACGACAAATATAGCTCAAGAGTGGTTAAAATTTTGAATGCTAAATAGCATACAAATTAAGTTATGTACGTATACATTATCAAGGAGAGGATATCAGGTGGTGGTGGGCTCTGCTAGGTCAAAATTAAGCCCCAAAACTACTAGATTCAGAGACGTGGAACTATATATTGATTCAAGGACAGATGCAAAAAATTAGTGTTAGTTTCCTCATTGTGATTTTCAAACCAATTTAGGATGTGATTAACTCTTCGCTGAAGAAGCGAGTACAAATCTCTTATCTAAAAGTTACGCGCTATAGTATGGTCAATTTCCTTTACCTCACACTCCCTCGATCCCGGCGAGATGATTGTTAGCATAAATTTTTGGTTTGGTATAAAATTGAAAAGTAAATAAAATTTTAAATAAATAAATATTTTGAAATGGAGAAAAAATAATACTAAAAATGAAATTGTGATCATTTTAGAACAAAGAAAGTCATTAATATACACCGAAAAGGACCATCCACGGACCACGGGTTCGATTTAACTTCCTAAATAAAGTATATTTTGAGTTCAAAAAGAAACTTTTACGTGATTAATTACTAGTTAATTGCTCCAGTTCCAAACATATTTCCACATTCACTGCAAATTGGCGATAATGAATCTATCATTGTACTAATACAAGAAATTAGATGCATGAAATGAGATGCGAGGTTTCTTTTTTTCTTTCTTTTTTTTTTGGTACTAATCAATTGGATGCGAGGTTTGTCACTTTCAAAATGATGTTTTATACAAACCTCATTCTTTTTCTTTTCTTTTTGTTTTTTAATTTGTGTCGACCCCCTTAATTGTAAAGCGTGTTTATGATTTGTTCGACAGAGGAGATATATATGATTGTTTTCTTTGATTTGCTCAAAATTTAAAAATTTTGAAGGTAAAAAATGATGGAAATAGCAACCAAAGAATATGCATAAACTCCACATTTCCGAACTTTCCATAAATTAGTTACCACTTTTTCCAAAAAACCCTCGACCCTGACCCAGGGATTAGTACATAAAGCACAACTACCAATCATTTCTATACATCATGATCGCACTCACGTTATTGTTTGCTTCAGCTATACGGCCATACGGGTCTCCTTTTCCGGGGTCCATTTCTCTTTTTTTTTCTTTTTTTTTTTTCATATTCTTAGTGTGTCCATTATCAAGAACTGTGACTAATTTCACTTATTGGGTTATAAATATTTCAATGAGTGAAATAGTTAGCTAAATACATTATAACTCATTTTCTCCGTCTTCAAAATACTATATAACAAAAGAAAACATATTAGCAAAGACTATTTTTGATGGCATGGTCAATTATCAGATATGTTCGCGTGGCGCTTGTGCTGGCTCTCCTTATGGGTAACATTACTGATCACTTCTCTCTATCTCTTAATTTGTTGCAAGCTAGCTATAACATTAATTAGCTATCTAGCTTACTTCATATAGTTATTCACTTAATTTACAAAATATGCATCACAGACAATAATACATTAATACATGTTATAATCATTTTCTGGCAGCTTTGGCAGCGGCAAACTCTGCAAATGACGATCATCGCCGGGGTGATGAAGTCGTCCGCCCGCTGTTAAGGAGGCTTTTGCAGAGGTCAGATACATGCCTTCGATTCTGCAATACGGCAGAGCCTTTATGCCATACCATATGTGAACCAATCCCAAAATACCTACGTTCATTACTTGGTGTAGTGATTACAAAATTACCAGTTCCTGATACTATTTATCCTTCAAACACCGATAGAGTTTGCGTGGAGGTGCCTCGTCTGCCGGACTTGTGAGAGGAGATTATTATTCATTCCGAGGGTGGTGACATCGTCGTGGACTGGTTTCCGCTAGCTGTTTGCTTATTATTAGTTGCAAAAATATCTGCGGTTGAATTATGACATATTTCAATGTTTGTCCGTTATTATAATGTTGTATTGAGAAAACACAACAATATACTTTATCATTGTTATTATTATTGCTTCTATTTCTATTACTATGTCTCTTCATTTTTCTTTCATCGTCATATTCATACGGATTTTGCTTCGATTATTTTTATAGCTCGTAGATACGTATTTACGGTTGCTATCAAAACGTATTCTGTAGAAACATGTATAGTCTATGTTTTCTCCAAAATTCCGATCCATATCTCCCAAACGAGTTCCTAGAACCTAACACGTTAGTTATGGAACAATATTGATGGAAGGGGAACTGTAAACTTCCAAGGATATAAGTTGCGAGTTGCAGACAATTTGATGAATTTATTTACGCGCAAAACAGAGACAGGTACGAATAGTAGTATTTGGATCTTCTTAATGCTTGGCCTTTGAAGCTTTTTATTTTTCTTCGTCTTCATATTCTACAGAAAAAGTATCTATTTTTTCGTTTAAAAAAAAAATAGTCCAATTAATTCATGAACTAAAACGGTAGAACAAAGTAGTTGATTTTTTTTTTTTTTCAATTTTGATTTGAGGCCGATTGAATAGTTTTTGTACTCTACAATCAGTGAAAAATTTATATGGCGAGCAAATTAGTAGACAATCAGTCATTACCAAGTTAATTTGAACAAATTTTCGTAATTACCTAGTTTTACTAATGGCCAATGTAAATATACATAGTTGTATATAGATTATACTTGTATATAGTGCTGATGGACTAATGTGCATAATTTTATAGACTAGCAGGGATCTCTTTGTATATATTACAAACATAAAGGGTAGCATAGCAATAGATGAAATTAAGGTTGATTAGTTGTAATAAATATCCGAATCTATGTCTTGTCTGATTAATAATATACTCATTCATTTTTCATCCTCTTCTCTAAGTTTCTCGAACAAACCTCCATCCTCACTGTCCTGAAACTCAAATTCAATCATCGTTTATCCGAGATGGTATCAGAGCAGGATTAATTCCTGCTCAGTGCCAGAATACCAACAAATCGATCCAAACAATTTGTAAATCCACCAACTTAATCAAAAACCCTAGTTTGCTCGAGTTGAAGCTTGAAGAACACCAACAATGGAGTTTCAGTATGAACCGGAGCGCCGAAAAAGGGGAATTGGAGCTCAGGCGAACTATGGAGGCGGAGGATACATACATCCTCTGTTCTTACATCCATCAGACAACTCGTCTATGGCGGTTGTTTCAACAAAGCTAACAGACCTCAACTATGTTTCTTGGAGTCACAATATGAGGCGATTCCTAGGAATGAAGAACAAAACTGGTTTCATAGATGGATCGGTGAAGGAGCCAGATCCAGATCATCCGGATTTTGAGCAATGGCATTAGGTAAATGGTACGGTCGTTTCGTGGATCTTGAATGCAATCTCTACAGAGCTCGTGGATAACTATGATCTGGCAGTGGATGCGAAGGAGCTTTGGGATGAATTGCAGGAACGTTATGGAACAACTAATGGTCCACAGATTATCAACTCAGAAGGGAGGTAGCAACAATATCACAAGGTAATCTCAGTTTGTCTGCTTATAATTCCAAATTGAAAAGACTTTGGGATGAGTTAAATTGCTTGGATCCATTGGCTGAGTGTACTTGCAATTTTAACAAGAATTTGACTAGATAAAATCGGCACAAATTGATGAAATTTTTAAGTGGATTGAATGATTCGTATGCTAGTATATTAGAGATCAGATACTTGTAATGGACCCTCTGCCTGATGTGAAAAAGGCATATACAATGGTAGTAACAGTTGAGAAACAACACAATCTGTAAAAAGTGTTTGTAGAGTCAGTTGAACAGAATGCTATGTTAGTCCAGAGAAGGAATTCTGGTACTGTGCATCAAGGGGCAGGAAATTACCATAATAATAAGAATCAAAATAGTGGGGGAAATAACAGTGGAGGCTATGGAAATTGGAATCAAGGAAAAGGAAATTATGGTTCAGGGAAGGAAAATGCATTCAGGATAGATAAGGCTTTAAAGAAGTTGCAAAAAATGTGATCATTGTGGAGGGACAGGTCACTTGAAAGAGGGATGTTTTAAACTGATTGGATACCCGGAGTGGTGGGAAGGTAACAAGGAGAGGAGACAGGTGTTTGGTCCAAGAAATTCAGCAAATCTTACAGAAACTCCTGTGGAGCTTGGTACAGAAACTCAACTCAACAATAAGGATCTCTTGACAATGATGAAGACAATGCAACAAGAGATGTCCAAACTGATGAAAGGGAAAACAGCCGTGTCAGAAGGAGATCACAGCAACATGGCTTACTATCATGATTTCTCAAGTATGGTTTCTTTCAAGGCTTTAAATGCGTTAGATTTGACTGAATGTGAGTTAGCACTGTTATGGTTCTTAGACACTGGAGCTATAGGTCATATGACTGCTCTTTTGAAACTCTTAGCCAGCTATAGAAAAACCACAAAAAGCACCCCGGTTATATTGCTAGATGGTAGTGTTAAACAAGTAGAGCATATAGGAACAGTGAAGCTATCTAAGAAATTAGAAGTATCAGATTGCCTTCACATTCCTTCCTTCAATTACAATCTTCTCTCAGTCAATAAACTAGTTGTTCTTCTAAAATTGACTGCTTCTTCTCCACCAACTTCTGTCTGTTGCAGGACCAGGTGACTAGAAGAATAGTTGCCGTAGGAA